AAAAATAAAATTATTACAAAAATGTTATTAACAAAATACTTATCTTATTTAGCATAACATTTTAAGTTAGTAAAACATTTGTTTAGTTTTTAATTTGTTAAATTAAGCAGCAAACAAAATTATTTTCATATAAATACAACTATATTATTAAATTAAAATTAATACAGTAGTATGGTAGTAATTAATTTCTAGTAGCAAATTTTTATTAATTATTAATGTAAGGTTAAACTATATAATTTTAAACAATCAAAATTAAAAGCAGCTACTATAAAATAAACCAGTATCTACATTTTATTCTGAAGCAATTTTTCATAACCTTGCTCATTCATGTTTACAAAGTATTTCTCCTGTCTCATTTGCCTGCGTATTAAAAAGCATTGCATGGCTATGACAGTGAGTAAGATCATAGTTAACAGGGCCATCAAAATCATTAAATAAGGCATCATGACCATCATGTACTCCAGCAAATGTGAATCGTAATCAAGCTGACCATGCTCACTTTCTTGGATCTCAGTATTCAATTCTGCCATGATAGGTTTACCATGAAACTTTTTAAATTCAACAATTTTAATAGCTTGGTTATTAAGAGTTAGTTTACTGTCCATATTATTACTAGGGTAATCATTTGAATTGAGCTTGATTAGTGGATTTGTATCATTTGCTGGGGCTGGTAGTATGCACTTTGGGCTATGGTAGGGGTAGTCATCGCATTCAATGTCCTGGATATATTCAACGACCTAAAAAATAAAAGGTTTATCCTAATGTTATCCATATTTAAAATTCTAACTGTTTTTAAATAAATGTAATAAAAAATTATATTTGATTTACAGGTTGTTTGTAATATTTATCCAAAATATATAATTAATTTTAATTATAAATCGTCAACTTGTTAAGTCCCCAATTTGTTTTTAAAGTTTAAAACTTTAAGATTAAATAATCTGTTTATTTTTAAATTACAGTTTAAAATAATTGTTATTAAGTGAGTGAACTTAATTTGGGACAGTTATTAAAAATATAAATAATCTTTAGTACTTTGATATTATTACCAGTATTGGTCATTTGATCATAAATTCATTTAGCACAATTTTTATTGCATTGTATTATATTATTTATTATATTACTTAATATTGACCAAACTGACAACAACTGGACATTATAGCCTAAAACTTGTCAGTCCTAACAATTGTGGCTGAATTGGTCAGTAATATAAATTTTAAAACTAAACTACAATAAACGACATGTGCATAACTTACAGTACAAACTTAATTGGCACAACTGACCAACAGATGACCAACTGACCAATATTGATAATTATTCCAAATTATTATTATATTATATATATATTTAATAATTTATACCATATTAAGTTAATACTGACCACAACTGGACATTATAACAGATCACTGGTCAGTTTTAACATTTGTGGCTGAATTGGTCATTACAACCCTAATTGAACCCTTAATTTGCAAAAACACTAAATTAATTAGATTGTATCATTTTGTCAAATTGTGTACAATTATTATAATATTATTTTAAAGATTATGAGCCATACTACTTAATGAACTGTAACTTTTACAACATATAATTATATAATTTGGTTAAATATTTATAATTTAAATTTTGGTGACCTCAAACTGAAAACTTTTTTGAATTAAACAAACCTGATTAAAATATTTATCAATCTCATCCAAATCTTTATTTGAACATTTTTCATTTGTGATAAATTCATCCAGGCAATCAATATTTATCCAGGTTGCGCAACATACTTGCTGACTCATATTACTAATATTGTACTTGGTAATATTCCATGCTAGTTCAGCTAGCTGAGCGCAGTATAGTCGATCATGTTGCTGAATATTCTGTACGCAAGTATTATCACCAGGGTTAAGTGCAGGGGGTTTATCGGCGGTAATTAGTATGTTGTGAAGGGTCGGTATGAGACAAAACGTACTGTCCTTTGGGTACTGACTGCACGAGTTGTTTGCGAAAAATATCTCCAATTTGTGAAACCATTGCCGCAATTGGTTTGACTCGCTTTCGTTGCATTTGTGTTCAGACTATTGTGTATTTTGTGATAAAATTAATAATTCTTAAAACATATTAAATATTTTAAAACTTATTACAAAATATTTATATAGTATTATAAAGCAAATTATTATAAAAATATTAATTATTGTTTATATTTCATTGTTTTTTACACCCAATTTAATTACGTAAAATAAATTATTAAATTATTTGTATACTAGATAATTAATTACAGTTTTTATAATGTTAGATAAATAACACGTTTAAAAAATCATCATAAAATTAATATTTAATTATTTATTATAATTAACCCAAAAAATGAAAACCACTTGGCTTATAAATTAATTTTAAAATATTTTTTTTGACAAACCGTTTATGCGTATTTAAACTATTAATAATTAAACTAACTAATCTAATATAAAAATTTAGAAAATATTTTTTGCAAACTAAACAAATATTGGTATAATAAAAATTTTTCAAGTGTATATAAATAACCTAGATACAACATTCTATAACAATAATTGTTGCAACTTTTATACATTAAACAATAAAACAGTATCAGCCTTATTAACTAAATATACAGTATTTTATAATAAAACTTTATTTAATTATCTAAAACTAATTTTGAAACTATAATTAAAACTGTAAAAATATCACTTTTATATAACTTTTATTAATTACAAATTATTGCATTTAAATTTGGTGGGTGATCATGGATGTGTTTCTAAAATTTACCTTTTTAATTAAGGAAGTAGTTATCATACATAAAACTCACCTTGTTAACAGCACCTAGAAAATTAACACTACATTCAATATAATCCCATTTAGCGCAACAGTCATCGGACATTGAAATAGACTGATCTGGCTCATGCCAATACTCATACGACTTGGTCAGGCATTCATTTATATCCGGATCCAATTTGTTGAGACACTCATACGCCTGTCCCGTATACTGAGGGGCACCGGGAATGGCAGTCATGTGCCGCACAAGTAGGCCAGTAGTCAGTGTGCAACTGGTCAGTACACTAATGACCAGAAAATTAAATAACATTTTTATAAACAAAATAATATAACTTGATATTTAATATTATTTTTATTTTTGTTATAATAGTTACAAATAGCTATAGTTTTTATACATTATTGGTTTCTAAAAGGAAATGATAACTAGGCAATTTGTTCAATGAACTATTTGTGTAGAGTTTTACGTTTTATTTGAAATATTGTTTTATCTCTCTCTCTCTCTCTCTCTCACACACACACACACACACACACACACATTCATTGCCATCATACACTCACGAGCAAGCAAAACTACAGTCGGTTTTTGGCTTATTTCTCTTGAACCCCGAATTGGATTTCAGATCTGACTTCAGATTCAGAAACTAGAATAAATGACCATTTTGTTGGTATATAAGATTATATTTTTAACTTACCCGGTCACAAATATATTTAATGTTGAGTATTGACAAGAATATTTTCGGAATCCTCATAGAAAATACATGGGGGTTTGGTGCCATTTTCAGTATTTCGGTTTTAATTTAAAAATATGAAAAATAGTTGTAGCCTGGTCATTTCATATGCGATTTTTAAATCTCAAAAAACATCTTTCATAAAATAGAAATGCGTTCAATACGTATTAATTAGTTTTTAAATTTTCTCAAATTTATGCAAAATACCTTCATGATTGGCAATGCTTTAATTTTGTTAAGCTTAATATATTTAGATGATTTATATGTGACTTATATAGCACTTGCAAAATGAAATTCACCTTATTTATCTATTACTATCGACTATTGTTATAAATTATTTTGCATTTATAAGCATTTATTTTATTTATTGTATTCAAATGTTTATTATGTCCAATAAATATGCATTAGTTTACATGGGTATCTGGGTATAATAAAACGGTTATTTCATCAATCGTATCTATACGAGAATCAAATTATAATCTTATAAGATGTTTACTTATATTAAACTTTCATAAAAATGCTTAATAACAAATTTTATTTATTGATATGTCAAGATAATCTTTGTTATAATATAATATATGATTTAATAATATTTAATTAAATCAATTAAAAAAATATAATTATCTTTAATACATAAAGAGTTCAAATTTATTTTATATGGCTATTAATGTTTATCATTAATATTTTAACAACTCATATTGTAACAGCTCACATAAAACATTATGAAAACACCTTTTGAAACTTTTCAAATATGGACAGTGAGGCCCATTTACGTTGCAATATGTTAAGCAAGAATTTATTGAAAAATGGATTCTCGTGCGACTCAAGGGTCTCGAGTGTTGCCTTAAATTGTAGGTCATTTGTGTCCAGACTATTATCGATGGACCACTCGCTATATTTAGCCAACACTTCCCAACATTCCGGCCGTTTTTCCCATTTTAAGTTTATCATGGAGTCCAATAAATCTTGCAATATTTCAATGGACACAGTTAATTCATCAATGTATTGAGAATTTTGCATGGAGCTATAAACAATAATTTAATAATATTAATTATTAACATAATTTTACTCATAATAAAACAAATAAAATTTTAATTAAGATTAAGATAAAACGGTAAGTATCATATTTTGATTATTCCTGAATTTACCCCTATTTCGTGGCATTTTGTAAATTGACTACTATTATGGAGAAGTTCACATAACCCAACCAAACATCATTAACCTATATTACAATTAAGCTATAATACAATGCGCAAACATGGTAATCCGGGCCACATTACCAGTGACAATGCTGTAAATATTATAACATAAATAAATATTGAAATTAATGTTAAATAGTTTATAGTTTTGTCACTCATAGTGTGGCCCGGATTAACACGAGTGTGCCATTAATATTACATTACTATTGCAAGATACTTTCCGTTTTATATAATATAATTTAAAATTATTCAAATCCAATATAAATTAAACACAAAATTAATATCACCGATTTCTTGTAAAATAAAATATTAGACACAGTAAGTCAAATATCATATTTATAAATTTAACCCTGTACTGCACATTTTGCTTACCTCATTAACTTTTCGGTAAATAGATCAATACTAAATATTTCACCACCAATTAGCGCCAAGCTATACAAATCGGATTTATGGCCGTACTTCATGCCCTGGATGATCTCTGGTGCCATATATCTAACATCGCCCACGTCAGCCGTGTGCTTATTAGCGGTAATATAATGTATGCGTTTATCGTGCATGGTAGCCAGGCCAAAGTCGCATAATTTAATAAATCGGTCATTTTTGACTTTAACCGAAATCAATATATTGTCGGGTTTGAGGTCCCGGTGAATGATCTGCGGATCCAAACCATGCAAATATTGAACGCATTCTAAAAGTTGTCGAAATATTTCACACGATATGAAGTACTCGTACAAAGACATGGGTTCATCCAATTGACGATTAAATACTTGAGGTTTTAGGGCTAGTATTTTGTTTAGGCTGTCCAAACACAACTCCATTTGTATGTATAGACACTGGCGCTCGATCCACGAGTCATAATACTTGACCACAAAGTTCGAGTTTACTGTGGCCAAATTTTTAATCTCCCTGATCACTTTGCCCTTATTTTTTGTATCTATAATGATGTCCAAAAAAGTCATAATGTCAATTACAATTTATAAAGTTATTTACCTTCAAACGGAACACATTTAACCGCATAAATCTTTTGATCAAAAAGGTTCATCACCTTGTACACCGACCCAAAGCCACCCTGACCAATTTTCTGTATCTCATTAAACTTATAGAGATAATGATTGTGATGTACGCGACGCGTGTTATAAGTTATTTGACATTCTTCGGCATAGAAACTTATAAAATCAGCATGCTTACTTTCACTACGTTCGTTAGCACTGTCAATTTTGTAAACTTTATCACCCAGCACAACTGGTACGAATGTGAAATTACTATACGAACGTAGCTGGGACATATCGTGAAATGCAACCTTTTGAATCTGGGTAGGTGTTAATTTTGGGCAAGGGAACACATCGCCACAGTAGTAAAGGGCACCGGTATTTGAGAGGAAACACGTCATACGACTGGCCGAACTGATGGCCTTAATGTCGGTTAAGTACGGTATTAATTTCGGTGACATTTGATTGTCATTGCCAATATTATGACCTAGCATGTATCGATAGTTTGAACCCCAACTGAAAACACCACCGTTTACTGTAATGGCGAACGAACAATAGTGGTAGCAATAGATGCTTTTTACTTGGTACCCTATTGGAAATTGTAGCTTGGTCGGTTCGAGAACGCAATCATTGAGGTTGTTGTCGCTGCACCCAACTTGTCCCTCGCAATTTCGTCCCCAGCCATATACCTTAAATTGGTATTGTTATACATATTTTGTAGATGTTTGGTCAATTTAGGTAATTATTTACATAAAGGTGCATACTATAATTAAATGTATACTTGGATTAAGTAATTTAATTACCTTATTTTCTTAGGAGATTATTTATCCACTCAATATGAAACATAATTATGTATTATAACGAGATTGTAAATAATTTTGAAATAAATATTGTAAATTATATAATTTCCGAAATTGTTTATGTAGAAATTTTGATACACTCCCTGTGTCTGTACCAGAAACTGGAAATTAAAGTAGTGCACTTAATATTGTATGGCAATGAATTTGGCAATTATGAAGTGAAATACTTGAGTTTACAGTTTGCTAGTATAAACACATCGGTCGTTTCAGAATTGGGCTTTTCATATTATGTTGGTGTTAGGCCTAGTTTTAGTGTTTAGACTACTTTCTGTATACATATCTCTCCATCAGTTGTTAAGACAAGTGTGTGTTGGTAGCCGCAACACAATTGTTCAATATACATTTCGTCGAAAAAGTGTATTGTATCAGGCACACAATTAGACATATACTCGGGCTTAAGTCTTCCCAATTGAGCATGGTCATTACAACCCCAACTATACACATTATGAACATCATTAACAGCGATCACAAAATCGTACCCGGTCACAAAGTATTGTATTATTTGGTAGCATAGCTCCTGAATGATTTGTGGTCCATCATAGCCGACAATATTGGCAAGACTAATCCAATTGTACCTAGCACCAAAAACATGGTCATCCTCCGTGACAAACACTATGTAATTTGCGAACCAGTGATAGTCATTGAAAACGTGAAACAATTTAATTGTTTTCTTAATATTAGCACGAATTTGATCGCAAATGTTAAATTTGTCTAATATAGACGACATTTAAATAATTTAACAAGTTAAATTAATTAAATTTTCACATATTTTGTTTAATGTTATGTCAGCCATACCAAAAACACAAATAATATAAACAGTAATAGGTAGTTTATGATATCATAAATTTTATATAACTATAGTTATATAAGATATTTATTTTATCTATAACATTTAAATAAGACTTGCCATCTACATGCATTATGGTAAACAAAATAATATTTATATTTAAATATACAGTGATTCCAACTTTAGATCAGTAACTCATCCGTGTTATGAAATTTTTGGTAAAGTATTTCGCATTTAATATAAATACAATACTTTTAAAATTATACTTTAGTTTATCTGTTTGATTTGTAACTAGGTGTTTGCTAACGCAACTACCTGTCCCATCTGGATCGTTATTTTGAAGTACATCAGCACATTTTTGGTTTAAGTTATATTTTATATTTGAATCAAGCATGTTATTCACTTCATTTTGTGTACGAATTTCACAATATTCCGGAATATTCTGGTTATTATTATTATCCGTATGAATATTCTGGCTATCATTCAAACTGTAATTATTTCCTGAGTAAGTTTACATTTGATTCAAAGTTAGTTTTAAAGTTAATTGGTAAGTCAGCTGGAGCGCTAATTTCATTTTTAATACTACCAGCCCCTACATTCATGTCTACTTGAATTAAATTTATATTTAATTTACTGTCATTTTCAGGAATGTTAGTCACGATGCCACCGGTTCTCTGGTCAGGGGCATATTTATTAATTATGATCCCATTTTTTGTTAAATTAATTAACTTTCTCTCCGTCTCTATGTTATTGTGTTTAGTATTAAACAATTTATTATTAGTTTTATTTCGGACCCGAATTCGCGACAAGTTTTCAATCAACTGCTGATCACTCGCTATAACACAGTATTCGTCGAAATCCGTGTCAAATAGCTATTGAAATGAATTTATTATTTAAAATATTAAATTTATAAAAAATATTTTTTTTTAATTATTAGTAAAATGTATACAAACCTCAAACAAATATGTTTCGTATGAGACGTTATGTGGGATTTGTTTTTGTATCTCATTGTAGATGATGTTGAATGTGGTCACAGTATCGGTGCACTCAATACGTATGCAATAGTTTTTACATCCGTTTAATTCAATTAAAACTTTCATTTTAATTGTTAATTATAAATGTTATGAAAGTTTTTTTGTCATTTATTAAGTATGTATACTGTAGACTTCATTTAAAATTATTATAAATGCTTCATTATTTTATGATAATATGTGCTTAGTATGTCCTGTTCATACATAATCCTTGAGTCATAAGTAATTGCATAAATCTTAAAATGGTATAACTTTTGAATTGCTTCAGATAAGACAAAATTTTATTTTCAGAAAGATTATTATATACAAAATCAATTTTTGTCAATAATTGGCGCAAAGACTCCCTTATCTCCGATTTGCTTCAATGTCTTGCGGACATTCCTCATGAGCTGTTGTGCACATCTATTTGCGACATCTTTGCTAAGTTTAGACCAGATTTGTGTCATTTCTTTGGCATTACGCGACGGCTTAGACCTCAGACTATAGTTATGCTTACAAACTGACCAGAAATTCTCAATAGGGCGGGCCTGGGGAACGTTAGGTTCGTTACCTATTTTGGTTACAAATTCAATACCATTGTCTTTTAACCACTTTTCGACGTCTTTCTCGTAATTAATTGTTGCCATATCCGGCCAAAACCACGTCCTTAACGTTATGGTATTTCTTGACGAATGGCAAAAGTCTATTCTGTAGGCATTCCTCCCTATACTCCTTTGCTTTCAGTGTTCCTAATTTTACGTAAGGCTCCGATACATGACCCATTTGATCCAAAGCCTGCCATACTAAGAACTGCTTCTGGAACTTCTTTCTTGACTTAAGTCTTATATTTGATGGCACTTTAGACTTATCAGTGCAGTGGTAGTACTTATTCACCTGTACATGTCGGGGGTCGGCCGGACAGTATGTCTCGTCGTCTAGAATCAAAATTTTATGTATCGATTTCCGGTAAATTTTTCTGCAGTTGGTTTTGGCTCTTCGAGACTGATCCTGAGTATAATCTGGTGCTGTTTTGCACTTATATGTCTTCAATCCTTTCTTGACTTTAATCCTATGGACAGTTCGTTGTGATATCTTCAGACTATTGGCAACATTTCGTTCGCTTTTGTTAGTATTCTTACATTTTCTGACCACTTTCTGCACCACTTCTTTAGTGGACACACTGATAGGCTTTCCGGATTTGGGTCTAAATTTTGAGCTGCCGGTGCTCTGATATCGATCTAATATGTAATACAACGCTCGAGGTTTAAGACCTTCCTCTTGGAAGTGCTTAATTGTATTCTTTTTGTCGAAATTGGTTACATTGACATAAAAGTGCACAACTCTATCAGCGATTGACTGTCTTTCAGACACTTTCATTGTCTTAATGGTAATAAGAGACTGTAAAACATGTCATAAGTATATGCAGTGATAACTGACGAACAAATGGAACCATTACTCGAACCCAACAATTAAATCTTAAGCGCACTCTAAGTGTTCAGAATCTGTGCAATTACTTATGACTCAAGCTTTATTAATTTTTATATTCTGTGTGTATTACAATTAAGTTACAATTGTTAGCCAATAATGTTGTTTTATATGAAATGTTTAAGTATACATTTCTTTATCTACTGTAATTTGTTAACATTATTAATTAAAAACTCTACATTGCTTATAGGTTATGTTTAATAGTCGGGTCATGTTTTATACTTATAATTTTTATTGATATGAATTTCTTAAAATTGTTTAATATTTAATGTTTATCACATTTTATAATGTCATTGTTAAGTAAATAAAATCAAGGTTAGTATATACGATATTAGCAACAGCTCGAAATTTAATAATACATTAATAAACCTTTGATAATAATAAATGATTCATGTGTTTCATATATTTTTGAAATACTTTATATGCATAAAACTATAAAATGATTTAAGCTTTTATAACTTTATATGACATGAAATATAAAAAATGATGAACATGTTGCTTAATAATATATTTAAATATGAAGGTACACCACTTAAAATATTAGATTTTAATAATAATATGCTAAAATGCAATAAATATATTATTATAAAAATCATCATTGATCATTAAATACAAATGTTTTGCATTAATTAAATAGGCTTTGTTAATTTATCAATATATTCAAAAGTAGTTTTATTAAGTACAAATTTTACATATAATTTTATACAGATTCTTAATTATGATTATTAAATAATTAATGGTGATACTGTATTATTGATACAATATTAAGTGGAAAATGACCTGTATAACTAAAATAATTAAATCAAATTAAGGTTAATTCCACAATTAAAGTGATGTAAATAAGTTGACAAAGACTTTTTGATCTAGTATTTTGTATTAACATATTTAGTATAGTTTGAATTAGAATATTAATATTGTTTTACAGTTTATTAAGCAACTCAGTACAGTCAAAACATTATCGTGTTAATTTTTAAAATTGATTTTCAATTCATTAATTGGTTCATACAATGACCTTGGTAGACACTGGTTCAAGTCCATGCCATGTATTATCGAGAAAAATGGGTAAATCTTAACGCCTTTATTATAATTTGGCAAATGCTTTAACGCCTTTAAAAATAAAAAATCAATTATATCAATCACATTTTTTGCTTTACATTATACATACAATTTTGTATAACGTGCAAGCATCATTAAACCTAGATTCACAAATTTTAGCGTTATGCTTAAAACAACCCTGGTTATTCATCAGTTGTGAAACATGTGGCCAAAATGTTGCTGGGCACTTTGTAACACTTCCCAATTTATGGACAGTCATATCA